GACCACAATGAAGAGCTAACCACTGAGGAGCTGCAAGAGCTTCAGTAGGAAGAGCAACAGATCGCAGCTCAGAATCTTGCTGCAGAGGAGGAGGAAGAGAGATGGAAGAAGGTGCCTTCTTCAGAAATTAAGGAGATTTTTGAAATGTTGTGTAGGATGGAAAGATTTATGGAGAAACATCACCCTGAGAAGGATGTTGCAAGCCATATCGGCAACTTGTACAGTGACAGAGTCTTGGCCCATTTTAGGGAAGTTTTAAAGAGACGCCAGAAACAGAGCTCTCTGGACAGTTTTTTTGCGAGACAGGACTCCAGTGACTCTCAAGCTAGTCCTAGTGGCATTAAGAAACAGAGAAGAGAAGTAACCCCAGAAAAGCACTTGGTACCTGAGGTGTTGATGGAAGGGGATTCTCCTTCCAAACAATCTCTCTCTTCCTCCAGTCTTCCATACACTAAGAAGAATCGCCAATAAAGGTAAGTGTTACACTGTTAATGTTTCATTCATCATGTCCTATTGTATTGTTTATGTACTACATCCATATTTCATGTAAAAAATTTTTTTGTTTTAATACTTCTGGGTGTCAGGAACGGATTAATTGTATTTGCATTATTTCTTATAGGGAAAATTAATTCGAAAATCGTCTATTTCGATGATAGTCCCACTTCCAGGAACAGATTAAGGACGATAATTGAGGGACCACTGTAGTCTATAAGTACATGTATTAGGTTAAGTCTGCTCAAAATGCCTCGGCATGATAGTGGCTTTCTTTGCTCCAGTCATATTATGATATGTAAGCACACATTGTAACCTTTGCAAAAAAATAAATATTTTATTTATTTAACCCCTTCAGGGTCCAAGGCCCAAATCTGAAGTGGTGCCCCAGTGTCCAAGAATTTTCAAAAAAAAAAAATTGTTATTTTTTCTTATGAAATGGTAGAGAATCTTTTTGTGAAGGTAATAAAACAAAAAGTACAAAATTTGATGGAAAATTGACGAAATTATGCTCTCCCGAATTTTGATGTGTCAGCGATATTTACGAATCGGCGATTTTGCCGACTTTGACTCCCATTTTAGGCCAATTACATTATTCCAGTCAAGCAAATTCTTAGCTATTTCACTAGTATTACTTCTATTCTATCGATTGAGCACAAGAAATCGCCAAGTCAACTGTTTCAACTACAAATTAAAGTGATCGGAAATTGTTAATTTGGCCAATTTAACACAAAGTTCAAAATATTCCAATTTCAAAATAGGGTCCAGAATAAACAATGTAGGTATTTCTGGAACTAAACTAACATTTCCTCTGTTCATTAGTTATGTTTTGAGGCTTTACTAATTAATTCCATTTTGATTTTTTATTCACATAATGAATTTTTATTCACACCAAAAAATAGAAGATTTACTGTTATGCAATACTGTAATAATTGTATAAATATCATCACCATATTTGTGAATGCATATTAGACCCACCAGCTGGCGTGTATTAGACGTGTGAGGTCATTTGTTTACTCTTGAATATCGGCAAAAATTTAACATTTCTGCTACTTTGAGCTCAGTTTCAAGCCATTTCCAGTGCTAAAACCAATCAAAATCATCTCTATTTCTGTAATATGTCTTCCATTCTATCAAATGAGACCAAGAAATCGCAAATAGAACTATAAAAAACATACGAAAAAACACTGCAAAGTCTCTGTTTTAATCGAAAAATCATGATTTCAGTTTTTTCTCTCATTATACACAGCGTGCTGCAGGATCTGTTTTATGTGGTGCACACATACCACATAGATGTATTCTCTCATATCTAGGCCCAAATGTACCACTCACAGTTTATCAGAGTGAGCTGAGCTCATGACGTAGATCTACGGTTTGGACCCTGAACGTAAAGCCGTAGATCTACGGGACGGACCCTCAAAGGGTTAAGGAACCTCCCTTGAAGGGAAAGTACTCATCTTGAAATTTCGTTTGTATCCAGAAGCAAAAAAATCGACCAAATGACGGTTCGTATCCTGAAAAGTTCGCATGGTGCTGTGTTCGTAAGCTGAGGTTCCACTGTACATTAGAAACAAGGACAGCAGTTTCATCTGTTTTGTATCTCTGCCGTTTTTCCTGGCACAGTGTTGTAATGTTTTCCTCTTTAGCAATAGAAAAAATGGGATAAAAATAAAGTAGTACAGCACTATCACTCCATTTTTTTTTTAACATGTCATCCGTTTCCCACCAAGGCAGGGCGAGCCAAAAAGAAAGAAAAAACTTTCATTATCATGTAACACTTTCACCATCACTCATACATAATCACTGTCTTTGCAGAGGTGCTCAGATACGACAGTTTAGATGTCCCTCCAAACTGCTGATATCCTAGATCCCTCCTTTAAAGTGCAGGCATTGTCCTTCCCATTTCCAGGACTCAAGTCCGACTAACCGGTTTCCCTGAATCCCTTCAGCCTAATACTTTTAGTAACTCCACACCTTCTAATTTCCACACTATGAATTCTCTGCATAATATTTACACCACACATTGCCCTTAGACATGACATCTGCACTGCCTCCAGCCGCCTCCTCGCTGCAGCATTTACAACCCATGCTTCACACCCACATGAGTGTTGTTACCTTTGTATTCTCATACATTCCCTTCTTCCCTTCATGGATAACGTTCTGTCTCCACAGATACCTCAACGCACCACTCACCTTTTTTCCTTTATCAATACTATGGTTTACCTCATCCTTCATAAACCCATCTGCTGACAAGTCAGCTCCCAAATACAGCCTTTCCTCACTTAGCGACGTACTTGTTTACCGACGACTCAGACTTATGATGGGCTCTCTGACCAGATGCATACCTAAATAATGTATATTTAGAGCTGATTTCCTCAATTCTGTTTATTACAATATACAGTACAATGCTGTATAAACATTTAAAAATATACCAGAAATGTTATAAATGGTGCAAAGGTAACATTAAAACAGTATGCTCCTCATTTAGCGATGAATTCATTTACCGAAGTGATCTTGGGAACGGAACTCCGTCGTTAAGTGAGGAGAGGCTGTATCTGAAAACATTCACTTCTTCCATACTCCCTCCCTCCATTGTGATATCCAGTTTTTCTTTGTCTAAACCTTTTGATACTCTCTATATTCACTTTCAACTTTCTACCTTTACACACCATTCACTATCACTCCATATGTATGCACAATATATATAAGTGTACATGCACACCTCCACAACATATAAAAGTGTGCACATCCACACTAATATGTAGTTACACACAAGGACAAACATGTTCCGTTATATACTCTCTCACACACACATGCACACTCATGATATATAGTAATAATAATAATTCCAGTTAGATCAAATGGAAAATGTTATAACTTATATGCTCAGCACAAAAACATTGAAAAATAGGTGCATTTCCAAAATACAATACACTTTTTTTCACAGTTTTTTCCATGTATGTATGTATGTATGTATATATGCAGTACTTAATATGTAATATACCAATTTGTGTAGTGGTAAACTCTAGCTCTTGGGCCCACATCTTAACTGTTGGCTGATTTACAAGAAATTAATTTATCGTATTTACTTTTTGAACTTGCATGGAACTTTTAGAGTGAAAGCCCCCAAATTTCTAGATTATTATCAAAACTAATCACTAAACCCACAAGGGTCATACAGCACTGTCTAGATTTCTAGAGAGCATTTGTGAATATAGAGTACAGGTATCATTGAATTTTGCCTGGATAATAAATTCTGTTTCAGATTTGAGCTCACTTTATATGCCAGAGGTCATATCTCTAAATTTACTGTAGCACTAATCTGGTTAATATTGACATTCCTAAGAAACAATGTTCAGAAAGAGAGATATATATGGTTGTGGGACTTACACTGAGCACATTTTGAAAAAATACTATAGTTAGTTCTTGATTTAAGAGTTATGCATCAAGCCAAAAAAAAAAAAAAAAAAAAAAAATAGGCTCTGTATGAAAGCTCTTATCCTGTTACCAATAGGTCATTACATCCATGCACACACCCCATACAACAGGCCAAGGCTCTCTCAACAAGTGCTTTTGACAAATAGTAAATAACACACTTATCAACCTGATTTTTCTAAGCAATATATATGAAAACATACATCTGGTGAGATTCTAACCCACAACCCTGTGACATCATGTTGCTTACATGTGCATCACTCTTACCCCTCAATCATACCATCCCACACAAGGAAAAAATAAGTTTGTTGAATATTTTTAGCCAGAATTCTTACCTTTGAAAGAGCTATGACTCTCCTATATTGTACATATTCAAATTCAACACCTCAGAGTGATTGATATATGCGAGTATGATTGTCAAGATAATTTCAGTCACATGACTCAGTATCATAGTATTACTTCACACAGCTGTAACAGCTGTAAACAGCTGCAGAGGCCATGCAATGTGGCTCAGTGATACACAGTTTAAGTCTTTGTTAACCATCACAGACACTACTCAGTAAAGTTTAGCTTAAAATACATAGCCCTAGATTCTCCTTTCAAAAGTGGAATTTAATTTAGGCTCAAAAGCAGTCACTGAATGGTTTCAGGATCAGGGGGTAACTACATCCTTACAGACATCCTGATCCTTGGTCTTTAACAGTGTTATGTCACAGGATAATGGGTTGGTTGCATTGAGTTCAAGCAAACATTTCCATCGTCCTGTTTGTTGCATTTTACTGTACATTATAAATAAAAAAAGTTATTAGCTTATTTATGTAATCAATCAAAAAAAAAAATATATAATGACATTGTTAGGCAAAAAATATAAATAAAACCTATAGCAATGACTAGCAGCTCCCTCCTCATCAGATACCATTATCTAGTAAGAGTAAAATGCAGTCATCTGTATCCTGCATTTCTCTTGTATTTTTAGTAACTTTACTGAATTCAAATTAATAATCCCTTGATTATCAAGGATGAATGTATTATGAGGTATCTTTAACAGCAGTCTTCTGTTATTCAGTAGTGTATATATATTTTTTCATACAATCATCTAGTCTATTCCACAGACTGGCATAAGAAGCTTCACATGTATTAACATTCAGTTAATAAACAGATGTATTGAAACAGTGTATACAATCTTTTCTTTAACATGTTGCATAATTAACTGTCAAGAGCACTTTCAAGACCATAAAACAAGTTACTGTTGAATGAATGGGCATCTGTATTGTGTAACGAAGTTATTGTAACAAGTACAGCATCTGCACCATCATACAATGAACATTTTTTTTTACCATGTATGTGCCACCACTGGACAGCCCTGCCTGCAGAAGTCTTGGTGGGTGATATTTCACTTTTGCAGTGTGACAGATGAGAAGTTGGCCTATACCTTTCTTGGTTTCATTTTTACTAATGATGCAAATTGATAATTATTGCTACTGTTAACCCAGTTTGCCCCATACATGGATGCACTGAGTAACTAGAAATACGTAGTGTGGGATTATTTCTATAGAAGCTTCACAGCCCTTCAGTTATGCTGACAGGCTTTCACAGTTTAGAAGTAGATTCCGTTGAAGCTTTACTGGGTTGTTTCCAGAGAAGGTTGTAGCGCTGGCTTGCCTCACACTCCTCCTCAACTCTGCAAGGAAGCAGTATATGTTAGATAATTTTTACTTAGATTTTACTACAGTATTCTTTTAATACCACTGCACATTAACATGTTGTATGGCCCCTAAAAGTTGAATGCTTCTCCGTGAATATAATGCAAATAATAGTGACAAACTGAGGAACTGAAATTTTAGAATGGCCTCAGTACTGTAGTGTCTTGGAATTTATGAAATAAAAAAAAATTGTGTTGCCAGTAGTGATTACAAGTCAGTTGTCTGCCCGAGGTCACTTACAGTGTAGCAAACAGCACAAGATGGTGTTAGTAGATCACAGCAAAGAATGTGCGTACATACCTGAATGTCGACAGGAGCACCACCATAACTGATCAGGGCGAGCTGCTATGGCACTTTACAAATGATTTAGTAAGAAGTTTATGAACAGTTATATTTTTTAATACTTTAGAAATCATGTAGTGCCTGGGGGAATGAGAGAGAGACTGGTTTGATCCAAGGAAGGGGTAGGCAACTTCAAATACTTGGATCAAGGCTCCCCTTGCCAGCATCAAGGAACCTCCCTTGAGGGGGGACCAAGTAGAAGCACTAAACCCATATGGATCATGACTGAATAGCACCTGGGGAATGGGAGGCAATCAGGTTAGCTCTAAGGGGAAGACAGATTCACTTTCTTGGATCAAGAGTCCCTCACCAGCATTAAGGTACCTTGAGGGACTAGCAGTAAACAGATACCAAAAGTTAGTTGGGTATTGTGGGTCCCCTAGGTAAAAAGGGTCTACAATGCTATTAGAAAAATTTAATACATTTTTAAGGCAATTACGTAGATGATTTATCAGCAAAGTTAAAAATTAAATTGTATTATGTCACGTGACCCAATTACATGACCCAAATAATGCAATATATGACCCAATTGGGTAACACAGAACATTGTTGTTTGCAAACTTGGGTGTCAGCAATAGTACCCACCTCTGCGCTGGATGTCTCTGCTGCGACGGAAGATGCGATGCCTCAGAGGAAACCACACCATGATTGGCTGATCCTTTCACACTTCCAGCATTGTGACTGGTAACTCCCATGAAGCACACATTCTGATTAGCAGGTCCAACAATGCACCCGCCATGAGTGGGCGGTGGGACAATACAAGAACTATGATTGGTCTGGTGAATATAATCTACACTAGGGCCCCCTTCCCCTGGATGTGGGCCATGGGGTAGGTCACTGGGAATCACTTTAGGGTTAGGGGCATCCATTGCCCTGAGGGGCACAGTCTCGGGGTCCCCAATGACCACCTGGGGCCCTGAGTAATGCACTGACACACTGCGTCTAGTCCTATGGTCTTTGTTCATGGCACAAAATATTACCAGAAGCACTACACACACGAGAGACACCATGGCACCTATGTACACCAACACCTGTGAGGGGAGATTTGTAGTGAGTATGTGATGACCTGGTCATGTCTTGCCTACTGGAGGTGACCTGGTCATTATCCTCCTACTGGAGGTAATGCAGCCACTACTCCCCTACTGAAGGTGACCCTTCAATCGGGTTGCCATGGGGCTGGAGAAGAGATCTTGATCGGAGGAATTGGAGCTACACTCCCTTTCCTCGGACTAAACCTGATTATCCCTTCTACCCACCACTCTCATTGCCCAGGCACTCTATGACCCTTGTGGGTTTAGTGCTTACCCATGAATATAATAATGTATTTTATTAAGAATGTAACTAAAATTTTATATTAAATGAGTTACTTTATAAAAAGAAATTGTTGGTTTAGCACTTTATTTATAATAATAATGTAAAAAGAAATCTGTTAAAAGCACGTAGCTTCCAATCAGATTACCACCTCTAAGCCTCTCCTATCTAAAACCTCTAGAGTGGCCTCTACTAAGAAAACAAAGTGGGTAGGGTACCGAAGACCCAAGATGACAGGTACTGGGTATATTACCTGCAGGTGGGCCAGGTGTTGCTTGTGGAAGACGCCACCGGCCACCAGGAGGGAGAAGCCTGTCACTATACCAGCAACAAAAGCTGCCTGTGCTGCCCTGAAGCAGTAGTCGTGGCACCTCTCACACCGGGACCCTTCACTAACCAACCTTCCTCCCCCGCTGCTGCTCCACCCACACACACCTATAATACAATCCACCACATTTATATACAGGGAACAAGAGTGCAAGAATTTTTATGGAATAAGTCTGTTAACCATGTGTATGGTAGAATTATTACTGAAAGAATAAGGGAAAGTAGAGAAAGCAGGATTGTTTAACATATTTGTTGATGCTAAGGTGTTGGGAGAGGTGTGGGACTAAAAGATAATGAATCTGATATGAGGAGGAAGAATTTGGAAGGGTGTGTGAAAATTTAGTGTGACTATTAAAAGAGCAAGGTAGTGAGAGTAACAAAAAAGCCTAGGCAATGAAAGATTGGAAGGAGAAAGCATATAAAGAGTGACTATTAGATATTTGGGAGTGGATGTGTCAATAAATGGATCTACGAAAGATTAGGTGAACCACAATAAAGACTTAGAGGTAAAAAAATGTGGGTGTAGTATTGAGGTAAGGGGTGTGAGGCATTGGATTCAATTGTTGCACTGTGAAGCCTGGATTAATAAAATAAAAAAAGTGCTAAACCCATTAGGATCATACAGGTGAGAAGCCTGGAGACAGTAGAGATACCATGTGGCAGAATAGGAGGACCACAAGGGGTGTGTAAATCTAAGGTAGAAAGATGACGTGAAGGGGTTGTCCCAGAAATGATTTGAGGGAGGGTATGATGAAGGCTCTAATCGCTTGACCATCCAGCAGAATTGTGTGAATATGTTAAAAAATAGTTATGCGAGACCTGGAGATGGGAAGTAATGTGTCTGCACTCTGAATGAAAGGTGAGAATGTTACTGTTCAGAGTCATTCAAGTTGCAGTGTCTAGGCACTTCTAGCAGGACAACCACTGAATAAATGATGGTAAGTGTGCTTCTTTTTTTAGGGGGTTGGGGAAAGGGGGGGTCATTGTACTTTGATCCCCTGTCCATTAAACTTTTGTTGGTCACAGTAAAAAGTGGTGAGACAAACTTCTGTCTGCTAAATCTAAAGCAGATGCTACCATTAAGTATGCCTACTTAAATACATGTATATACATGTATCCCCTTCCCACATCACCAATTAAATGTACTATGAGCAGACGGAGGATCGAGTCTTCACGGCTCCTTGTGCTGAATGATGCCGAGTGCACCAGGACACTGATGGTCTTGTGATGTCTTTGATGCCAGTTATGGCCCTTGTGCCTTAGCGCTTCCTTTTTATTATTATAATAATAATAATAGGAGCCACACTCCCCTTTCTTAGATCAAACATGTTGACTTCATTTCTCAGGTGCTATAAGACGTTTACAGATTTGGTGCTTTCCCATGAATATAATAATTATTACAAAATATAATAATACCAGCAATAAAACTATGAAATTAATGATTATTTAAAACAATAATAACTCGCCTGTTTGGGGAATGATTGAGGGGGCGGCGCCCCAGCCACCTCCACCACTGGTGGATGCTTGACCACTGGAACCTCCACCACCTGTCAACACACAACAACTGTCAACCTTACATGGCAATGATAACACTGCTACTGTGGCACTTCCAACATGGCACTCCAAACACGGAACTGCCACCATGACAGTGGTACAAACTGTTTACTAATACTGAACTACCCTCTTGACTACCATTATGAAACTACCATAGTGGCTCTGCCATTATGGAACTACCATAGTGGCTCTGCCATTATGGAACTACCATAGTGGCTCTGCCATTATGGAACTACCACAGTGGTTCTGCCATTATGGAACTACCACAGTGGTACTACCATAGTGGCTCTGCCATTATGGAACTACCATAGTGGCTCTGCCATTATGGAACTACCATAGTGGCTCTGCCATTATGGAACTACCATAGTGGCTCTGCCATTATGAAACTACCATAGTGGCTCTGCCATTATGGAACTACCACAGTGGTTCTGCCATTATGGAACTACCATAGTGGCTCTGCCATTATGGAACTACCACAGTGGTTCTGCCATTATGGAACTACCACAGTGGTACTACCATAGTGGCTCTGCCATTATGGAACTACCATAGTGGCTCTGCCATTATGGAACTACCATAGTGGCTCTGCCATTATGAAACTACCATAGTGGCTCTGCCATTATGGAACTACCACAGTGGTTCTGCCATTATGGAACTACCACAGTGGTACTACCATAGTGGCTCTGCCATTATGGAACTACCATAGTGGCTCTGCCATTATGGAACTACCATAATGGCTCTTCCATTATGGAACTACCATAGTGGCTCTGCCATTATGGAACTACCACAGTAGTTCTGCCATTATGGAACTACCATAGTGGTACTACCAAAGTGGCACTGCCATTATTGAACTACCATAGTGGTACTACCATAATGAAATTACCATGGTGTACTACCATTATGGAACTACCATAGTGACACTACCCTTATGGAACTACCATAATGGAACTACCATAGTGGTACTACCATAATGGAATTACCATGGTGGTACTACATTATGGAACTACCATAATGGAACTACCATAGTGGTACTACCATTATGGAACTACCATACTGGTTCTGCCATTATGGAACTACCATAGTGGTACTATCATAATGGAACTAGCATGGTGGTACTACCATAATGGAAGTAGCACAGTGGCAGTGTAAATGGCAGTTTGTGGCAGTAGCAGCAAAGCAACAGCAGCAACAACCTGCTTCACCAGACCAGCTCAGTATGATATTTCACACCCGGATGCTAATTTTCTGGCTTCAGACCCGGAAATGGTCACCACGGCACCGTCTGGTGTAGGGCTCGTGATCCGAGGAACTGGAGCTGTTCTCCCATTCCTTTCAAAGTTCACAAACAATTATCTTCTGAAACATTAAAAAAATCGTTTTTTTTTTAATATTTTTTTTTTTTGGGGAATACATGTAATAAGTGTTTCTCGAAATATATGTATGTGCCTGGTGAAGGGCTCTTGATCTAGGGAACTGGATCTGTGCAGGGGGCTATTTACAGCTCCTGTTTGTGTGTACTCGCCTATTTGTGGTTGCAGGGGTCGAGTCACAGCTCCTGGACCCCGTGTGTCTAAAATGCAACTATGTAATATCTTTCCACGGTGACGATTTAAATCAAAATACACATGAATAACGGCGCTCACCTGGAGGTATGTGGTGGAGGGGGTGTAGAGAGGGGTGTGGCTGCCCACACATACCCGCCCCTAGCACTGGGCACGACCCCTCACCCCCGACCCCAACTGTGAACACGCCTCCTGGGGCACTGCCCATGGATGCGAGAGCCGGGGTGCTCCACAACATCTGTGGGTCAGCCCACGGCTGCTGCATCGTCCCTGGCACCGAGTGTACGGAATGGGCGGCCGTGGGCATGGCGTGGGCGCTGGTGTGCAAGGAATGGGCAGTGTGGGAGTGGACTACGCCGTGCCCAGCGTGGGCATGTTGTGTGGCCCAGGCCATGCTAACAGCTGGGTGGGACACAGTGACGCTATGGCCCCCACTATGCGACGGGTGGTGGGCCACACTATAAGTGGGATGGTGGGTGGGGTGGGCCACGCTGTGAGTGGGATGGTGGGCCATACTATAAGTGGGGTGGTGGGCAGCACTGTGGGTGGAAAGAGCGACACTGTGGGTGGAGTGGGCCACGCTGAGGCTCGGGTGGGCCGCAGCGTGGGCAGGGTGAGAGGCAGTGGGCTGGTAGGGAGTGGCATATTGATGGGCGAGGACATCGTGTGGGCCGTGGGCCACTTGTTGTTGTTGTTGCTGCTGCTGTTGCTGCTGTTGCTGTTGTTGTTGCTGCTGTTGCTGCTGTTGCTGTTGTTGTTGCTGCTGTAGCTGCTGTTGCTGTTGTTGTTGCTGCTGTAGCTGCTGCCCGGATGATGTGCTGCTCTCACAACCATCCTCAGACACCCACGGGTTCCTGAAAACACATCTGACATTAGAAGAAATATCACCGTACGGGGGAAATATGAAAGTAGTTTACAGAAGTATGAACCAAGGTTACAAGTCCTAGATGCACTGGAAAACAAACAGAATGCGGATGTAGTATACACAGACTTTGCAAAAGCCTTTGACAAGTGCGACCATGGTGTAATAGCACACAAAATGCGTGCTAAAGGGATAACCGGCAAAGTAGGCAGATGGATCTTCAACTTTCTAACCAATCGCACACAAAGAGTAGTGGTAAACAGAGTTAAATCAGATGTTGCCATAGTGAAGAGCTCTGTCCCACAAGGCACAGTACTCGCACCTATCCTGTTCCTTATTCTCATATCAGACATAGACAGAGATGTAAACCACAGCGCTGTATCATCTTTTGCAGACGATACTAGGATCTGCATGAGAGTGTCGTCCATTGAGGACACTGTTAACCTCCAAGAAGATATAAACCAAGTTTTCCAATGGGCAAAAGAGAACAATATGATGTTCAATGAAGACAAATTCCAACTACTCCGTTATGGAAAACTGGAGGAAATAATAACTAGAACTGAGTATACTACAAACTCCAATCACACAATAGAGAGGAAAAATAATGTGAGAGACCTGGGAGTGGTAATGTCAGAGGATCTCACCTTCAAGGATCACAACAATGCTACTATCACATCTGCTAGGAAACTGATAGGATGGATAATGAGAACATTCAAGACAAGAGATGCTAAGCCAATGATGATCCTTTTTAAATCACTTATTCTTTCTAGGCTGGAATACTGCTGTACATTAACATCCCCATTCAAGGCAGGTGAAATTGCAGAGCTAGAGAATGTACAGAAAACCTTTACTGCACGTATAAGTTCCATCAAACACCTTAACTACTGGGAGCGCCTGGAAGCACTTGACTTGTACTCACTAGAGCGCAGGCGAGAGAGATGTATCATAATCTACACCTGGAAGATTCTGGAGGGACTGGTCCCTAACATGCACACAGCAATCACTCCATACGAAAGCAAAAGACTTGGCAGGCGATGCAACATACCCCCAGTGAAAAGTAGGGGCGTCACTGGTATACTAAGAGAAAACACAATAAGTGTCCGGGGCCCAAGAATGTTCAACAGCCTTCCAACAGCAATAAGGGGCATTACGGGAAGACCCCTGGTTGTCTTCAAGAGGGAGCTGGACAGATACCTAAAGACGGTGCCGGATCAGCCGGGCTGTGGTTCGTACGTTGGATTACGTGCGGCCAGCAGTAACAGCCTCGCTGATCAGGCCCTGATCCACCGGGAGGCCTGGTCGTGGACCGGGCCGCGGGGACGTTGATCCCCGGAATTCCCTCCAGGTAGACTCCAGGTAGGTAGTGTATGAAAGTAGTTTACAGACGTATGAATCAAGGTTACAGGTGTATGAAGGTAGTTTACAGACGTATGAATCAAGGTTACAGAGGTATGAATCGAGATTGCAGAGGTATGAAGCAAATTTACAGAGGTATGAAATCCCACTTTACGACCTAGTTACATCTCGTCACTTCCTGTCGTAAAATACTGCCAAAAATCTTACGACATCGAGCGGAGATATTAGGCCTGTAAATCGTGGTAAAATGCATAGTCTGGTGACCCCTAACTGTAAAAAAAATACACTCAATTCAGAAAACTGTCGCTCAATGAACGTAGTGGCCAGAGCGCACAAAAGGAAAAATGCAACATTATTTAAAGCATTTCGCCTGTGAAATGCTGGGTTGGATATCCACGGGTGAGGGCGTTCTCAACTTCCCATGATGGACTGTTTAGTTACGGCAGAATGAGGCCCTGGCTTGAGTGTGAGGGCTCTCATTTAGGCGTGAGGTTCTACAGTGTGTGGGTTTTCATTTGAGCGTGAGGTTCTTCGTTTGAAATTCTGAGAACACTAAAATTGCTCAGTGTAAACACTATCACACATGCTATATATATATATATATATATATATATATATATATATATATATATATATATATATATATATATATATATATATATATATATATATATATATATATATTTATAAAAAATACAAACGTGATTTTGAATCATTAACAGAACTGCGGCTGGCCAGGATTCGATCCTGCGTCGCCATGCCCAGCCCTTTGAGAACAGGCACAGTACGCATTCTTCTATCAGTACGCAACCCCTCCTCAGCCGTCTATTATGTAGACGGCTGAAGAGGGGTTGCTGAGGTGTTTCGGACATTTAGAAAGGATGGAACGAAATACAATGACTCGGAGAGCTTATAAATCTGTATTGGAGGGAAGACGTGGTAGGGGTCGGCCTAGGGAAGGTTGGGGGGAGGGAGTAAAGTAGGTATTGTGTGCGAGGGGCTTGGACTTCCAGCAAGCATGCGTGAGCGTGTTACAGCGAGTGGAGACGAATGGTTTTTATGACTTAACGTGCTGTTGGAGTGTGAGCAAATTAACATTTATGAAGGGATTCAGGGAAACCGGTTAGCTGGACTTGAGTCCTGGAGGTGGGAAGTACAGAAGGAGGGTATGGCTGGAAAACATTAGGAACGTGTTTCCATAAGACATTTGCTCTCCCTGTCCACCCATTGGTTTAAAATGGGTACCTGAATGTTAGTGGACTGGTGTGGGTCGCATCCTGGGACAAAACTGACCTAATTTGCCCAAAATGCTCAGCATAACAAGTGGCTTTGTATATATTATTATTATTATTATTATAATCACGGGGAGAGCTAAACCCGTATGATTATACAGCTTTCTACATAGCAGTATGTCACTGATGTCAGCTAGGCCTGTATACCATGTACATGTAATTGTAGGAAATAAAGATATTATTATTATTATTATTATTATTATTATTATTATTATTATTATGTACACTCAACGGTAATCTAACCAGAGTTTGTTTACTACTGGGTTTATGATTCATCTTGTTCATTATTTCTTCAGCAATTCTCTCGTTTTTTTTTTATATTTCACTACAGTGATGTACCTGTGACCTCTCTCAAGAGTTATACTCTGGCAGCCCTGTCTGAGGTCACACTTTCTGATCACTGAGGCTGTTGAGGCCGACACTGACCTTAGTGGCGGCTTGAGGCAGGAGCGAGGGACAGCAGTAGACATGTCACCTTACATCTTCCACCTGTCAATAAAACAAAACATTAATGACAAAATAGTATCAGGTGAACATCAGTGGTTAACATGTGTTGTTAACTCAGGTTGGTGCTTGTTGTGAGAGAGAGAGAGAGAGAGAGAGAGAGAGAGAGAGAGAGAGAGAGAGAGAGAGAGAGAGAGAGAGAGAGAGAGAGAGAGAGAGAGAGAGAGAGAGAGAGAGTATCTTTCGTTCTGTACACGTTACTAAACAATCTCACATTCCTATCCTAGAAAATAGGGGATTCCCTTTCACTTTCAATCATCCCTTCGCTCTCTGTGCCTTCTCTTCCCTCTTTCTTCCCTTTACCTCCCATTCCAACCCCCATTCCACCCACCCTTCACTTCCACCCTTAAAAACGACCCCCAGCACTCCCACCCACATATACGACCTCCAGCACCCCTACCTACACATACGACCCTCAACACCCTCTTCCACATATACGACCTCCAGCAGAGACGGTAAACGAGCCGGACAATTTGACGAAATTTATGGGAAAAAATCGTAGGCAGCCTCAGCAGGGGTTCTGAGTAGAGGTGCGGAGTTAAGAGGTGGTGGGGGAGTTGAGAGGTGGTAGATTAAAGCCGAGTAGTGGGGGATGGGGGCGGGGGGACGCTGGTGTGATTTTTGGATTGGACTGTGATATTCCATCACACCGGATGGGTTTTCTTGTCGCCCTCCATCACTTAGGATAAGTTTCCCTCTCACAATATATCACACAAGATGGGTTTCACTGTTGTATTCCATCACACAAAATGGATTTCAGTGTTGTATTCCGTTACACAAGATGGGTAACATAGGCAGAGTTGAAATGTATCAGCCTGAGCTGCCAGACTGCAGAAAGGCAATGAGGATGATGTCAAGATTATTCAGGCGGAGAAAGGGAGAAGCCTCTGTTCTGGAAGGCTGTTTGTGGGAAGCGTCATTTGTATATGAAGATATACGCAAAATAACCATGGGGGAAGTTGAATGATAGCTCTAGGCCTTTCATGTTGCAATCAACACATTAGGAATGGAGCAGAAAAGAGGAGGTACAAGCAAATACGATCACAGGGAACGCCTTTGCGAAGGCGTTCCCTGTGATCGTATTTGATTGGACCTCCTCTCTTCTGCAACACTGCAAGCTCCTGATGTGTTGATTGAAACATGAAAGGCCTAGAGCTATCATTCAACTTCCCCCGTGGTTTTGCATCTTGTATCGTTTCTTCGCGATTTTTGCATAATGAAGATGTGTGTGTAAATGTACACGTATGTACATGAATAGCTTAAGTGTGAGTGTGGGTGGAGTTGTGGGAGTGTTGGTGGAGGTGTGGGAGTGTTGGTGGAGGTGTGGGAGTGTTGGTGGAGGTGTGGGAGTGTGGGTGGAGGTGTGGGTGTGTGGGTGGAGGTGTGGGAGTGTTGGTGGAGGTGTGGGAGTGTGGGTGGAGGTGTGGGAGTGTTGGTGGAGGTGTGGGAGTGTGGGTGGAGGTGTGGGAGTGTGGGTGGAGGTGTGGGAGTGTGGGTGGAGGTGTGGGAGTGTGGGTGGAGGTGTGGGAGTGTGGGTGGAGGTGTGTGAGTGTGGGTGGAGGTGTGGGAGTGTTGGTGGAGGTGTGGGAGTGTTGGTGGAGGTGTGGGAGTGTGGGTGGAGGTGTGGGAGTGTGGGTGGAGGTGTGAGTGTGGGTGTGAGTGTGGGTGTGGGTGTGAGTGTAAGTGTGGGTGTGGGTGTGAGTGTGGGTGTGGGTGTGAGTGTGGGTGTGGGTGTGAGTGTGGGTGTGGGTGTGAGTGTGAGTGTGGGTTTGAGTGTGAGTGTGGGTTTGAGTGTGAGTGTGGGTGTGGGTGTGGGTGTGAGTGTGGGTGTGAGTGTGGGTGTGGGTGTGTGTGTGGGTGTGTGTGTGTGTGTGTGTGTGTGTGTGTGTGTGTGTGTGTGTGTGTGTGTGTGTGTGTGTGTGTGTGTGTGTGTGTGTGTGTGCGTACGTGTGTACGTGTGTACGTGCGCGCACTGTGTCAACATCACTGGTCCAAGATTCTTCAATCAGTTACCAGCAGATACGAGAAATATTTCCGGAACAAGTGTAGATGTTTTCAAGAGGAAAATGGATCACTAACTCTTCCAAGTGCCAGATCAACCAGGCTGTGATGGTTTATGTGCCAGCGGGTCGCCAACAGCAACAGCCTGGTTGTACAAGTGATCATGAAGGAAGGAAGTCCAGGCTACGAGAGTAGGAACAACCTCGACACCGGTCACAGGTATATTGTGAGAACAGGGAGGTGGGCGGGGGAATAAGAAGACGCAGTGGTGGCAGAAAGGGAATTAAATTAAGATGATGTGCTAGGAGGAAGGGAGAGAGGTAGTAGGGAGGAAAAGAGAGAGTAACAGGGATGAAGGGGAGGAAGGTGAGGGGAAACAGGGAAGGAGGGGAGGAAGGTGAGGGGAACTGACAGCCAGGAAATGACGGAATGATTGAATCTCTGGGAGACAACTTCCAGATATACATTTTCACACGTTTTTATGACGTCAGAAGTGAGGGGTGACGCTACTCTCCCTCACACCTCTCCAAGCACTCCCTCACACCTCTCCAACACTCTCTCACACCTCTCCAACACTCCCTCACACACTCTCTCCTCCCTCTCTCCCAGTATGACGCTAGAACCAGACATAGCATAAGCCTAGGACAATAGATATAAGACAGTAACGGGAGAGTGAGACAGACTATGGTACATATCAATCTTCCACTGCAGGTGGACACCGTCGTTATCTCTCCCCATTTGTCTAACTTACACATCAATTACTCAACTATAATTAAATCGGACTAATCGCTATATACGCCTAAATTAATCAACGGCAGATACGATCCTCTTAATTGGAATCCAATGCAAAGGCCGCAAAGGCCAAAACGTGCATCGATGGAGCGAAACATATGACATCGGTGAAGCGAAACATATGACATCGGTGAGGCGAGGACAGACACACACGGACGTCTGTGAGGCGAGTACACACACACACACACACACACACACACACACACACACACACACACACACACACACACACACACACACACACACGTCTGTGAGATGAGTACACACACACACACGTCTGTGAGGTGAGTACACACACACACACACGTCTGTGAGGTGAGTACACACACACAAACGTCTGTGAGGTGAGTACACACAGACAGGCAGACTTGTGTGAGGTGAGTACACAAACTCAGACATGTACGCAGCTCTAAATCAAACTGCTCATACAGTCCCAGCTGAGGCAAACAACACGACCGAGGATCCTGTTTTGCTTTGCTAATTTAACGATGTTATCAGCGATGCTCAATTGTTTACCTGATAAACAATATGGCCGTCGATGTTCACTTGTCTAGCAGATAAACAATGGCATCCCCCCATGGCATCTTCTTTATTATTTTGATCAACTCTCAAACATCGCGGCTGCTGCTCCACTTCTTTTATTCATGAGGTATTACCCAGGATTGTTGCTTATTGTATTCACGTATGAGCAATAAACTTTGCAACGCTCACTTGTTTTATTTATAAACCTTGTAACTGGTGATGCTCACTTGTTTTATTAAGCTACAGATGGTGATGCTCATTTGTTTCGCTCGTCACCAATGCCCTTTTTCACATAAAAATAAAATATCGGCCTCTGAAGTCTTAAGACCAGACACACAAGACTTCGCTCGTGGTCGTCTCTTATTCTTCATTATTTTCTTCAGATAATCTCATAAGATTCCCGATATACCTTCCTTTATTTACAATCCGATATATATTTCTCTATTTTTAACAGCAACTATCGTAGTTTCAGTGCTTTTAAATATGTAGATGGCTTATGGTATTGTCGTTTACCTGGTTCATGACCACCTGCTGGCTGGTTCATGACCACCTGCTGGCTGGTTCATGACCACCTGCTGGCTGGTTCATGACCACCTGCTGGCTGGATCATGACCACCTGCTGGCTGGTTCATGACCACCTGCTGGCTGGTTCATCACCACCTGCTGGCTGGTTCATGACCACCTGCTGGCTGGTTCATAACCACCTGCTGGCTGGTTCATAACCACCTGCTGGCTGGTTCATGACCACCTGCTGGCTGGTTCATGACCACCTGCTGGCTGGTTCATGACCACCTGCTGGCTGGTTCATGACCACCTGCTGGCTGGTTCATGACCACCTGCTGGCTGGTTCATGACCACCTGCTGGCTGGTTCATGACCACCTGCTGGCTGGTTCATGACCACCTGCTGGCTGGTTCATGACCACCTGCTGGCTGGTTCATGACCACCTGCTGGCTGGTTCATGACCACCTGCTGGCTGGTTCATCACCACTTGCTGGCTGGTTCATGACCACCTGCTGGCTGGTTCATGACCACCTGCTGGCTGGTTCATGACCACCTGCTGGCTGGTTCATGACCACCTGCTGGCTGGTTCATGACCACCTGCTGGATGGTTCATGACCACCTGCTGGCTGGTTCATGACCACCTGCTGGCTGGTTCATGACCACCTGCTGGCTGGTTCATGACCACCTGCTGGCTGGTTCATGACCACCTGCTGGCCGGTTCATCACCACCTGCTGGCTGGTTCATCACCACCTGCTGGCTGGTTCATGACCACCTGCTGGCTGGTTCATGACCACCTGCTGGCTGGTTCATGACCACCTGCTGGCTGGTTCATCACCTGCTGGCTGGTTCATCACCTGCTGGCTGGTTCATCACCTGCTGGCTGGTTCATCACCTGCCAGCTGGTTCATCACCTGCCAGCTGGTTCATCACCACCTGCCAGCTGGACACTTCTTTCGTAAACAGTGAAGTAAATCTGAAGCACGAATTTTACTGTGTGTGTGGGTGTGAACCATGGATTATAGTGGGTGTGGGCGTGAACCATGGATTATAGTGGGTGTGGGTGTGAACCATGGATTATAGTGGGTGTGGGCGTGAACCATGGATTATAGTGGGTGTGGGCGTGAACCATGGATTATAGTGGGTGTGGGTGTGAACCATGGATTATA